GGTTCTGTTCCATAGTGTATATAATCCTTTCCACAGTGAACCATGCAAAATGAATCTTAAAGGTCCTTATGACCTCTTGATCCAGAGGCTGAGTTAGAGACATTGAGTTAGAGACATAGAGACACAGAGAACTCATGAGGTTCTAGATGATCGGGGCTTTGTCAGATATCAAAAGCACTTTAAAAAGCAGTCCCTTTCTGACAAGGTACTTTCTGACTTCAGGGACAAAGCATCAATGGAACCAGTCTAGATAAAGGGTTCTTGTTCAAGCCTTCTTGTTTTGCAACCAAAAGACTGGCTGCTGGTGGTTAGTTACTTTTTCGTTCAAAGCTGGGGGTTAGCAGCTTTACGGATAAGGACAGTCCTGATCATACACCCTACTGCATTTGCACAAAACAACAGTTAGCCCATTCCTTCCTGCATTAAATTTTGGTGCTCTCTCCTCTTCCTTACTAATAAATGTCTTTTGTGGCCATTTTTTCGGAGTAAGGCACTTTTGTCTGCCTTAAATTTAAACCTGTACAGGCAGATAGCTTTTCTCATCAATGATTTTCGTAATGGTGTCTGGGAATTCATCTGCTGCCTCTTGCTGGGCAGAAGCTGTTTCTCCTGTTATCTTTACATTTTTTAAGCCAAACTTCTTTCTAAAATTATCAAACCATCCTGTGCTGGCATTAAATTCTTCAACTTTATATCCTTCACCACCTTTTTGCTTTAAGTTGTCATGTACTGTAATGACTTCGGTTTTTCTCAAATCATACTAATAGGTATGCCATTCTTACACAGTCTTGCACCCACATAAAAGCTGTATTTTCAGGGGCGCCTGGGTGGCTCAGTTGGTTAAGCGACTGCCTTCGGCTCAGGTCATGATCCTGGAGTCCCGGGATCGAGTCCTGCATCGGGCTCCCTGCTCGGCAGGGAGTCTGCTTCTCCCTCTGACCCTCCCCCCTCTCATGTGCTCTCTCTCATTCTCTCTCTCTCAAATAAATAAATAAAATCTTTAAAAAAAAAAAAAAGCTGTATTTTCAGTACAAGTTAAAAGATATTTCACGAAAAGTTGAAGTTTTTTGTTCTTGCTGGTGTAGCTGCAGCAACTGCTTCACAAATTTCCTTTTCTTTTTTAACAATGATCTTCATGCTGGATTCATTTATTTAGAAATGGAAGGTAACTACAGGTACAGACATAGTACATATCAAGCATTCAGCTTTTTCTTTCTAATGTCCTGATTTTTTTCAGCTTCTTGGGAGCATTTCCAGCATCACTAGTGACACTGTGTATGGGTCCCTTGGTGTTGTTGAAGTTTATGTTATTGCACACAACACAATGAAAAATATGTAAGAACCACAAGAGCTCACTCAACAAGAGGTGGCTACAAAACTATAACAGTAGTACAGTATGTATGTACTTTATTTTATGCAGTTATGATTTATTACTACATCTTTGTGTTTATTTACATTTCTCTTGATTTCAAATGGCACCATGTACAGTGTGAAATGTTTGTGTAAGTTTTGATTAATTGTAACTTTTTTCTGTTTTTTTTTAACTTTTCCCACTATTTATTTATTTATTTATGTAGTGTTCCATGATTCATTGTTTGCGTATAACACCCAGTGCTCCATTCAATACGTGCCCTCTTTAATACCCATCACCAGGCTAACCTATCCCCCTACCCCCTCCCCTCTAGAACCCTCAGTTTGTTTCTCAGAGTCCATAGTCTCTCATGGTTCGTCTCCCCCTCCGATTCCCCCGTTCATTTTTCCCTTCCTACTATCTTCTTTTTTTTTTTTTAACATAAAATGTATTATTTGTTTCAGAGGTACAGGTCTGTGATTCATCAGTCTTAAATAATTCACAGTGCTCACCAAAGCATATACCCTCCCCAACGTCTTATCACCCAGCCACCCCAAGCCTCCCTCCCCCCACCACTCCAGCAACCCTGTTTGTTTCCTGAGATTGAGAATTCCTTGTATCAGTGAGATCATATGATACATGCAGCCATAAAAAAAAAAACCCGAAATCTTGCCATATGCAATGACATGGATGGAACTGGAGGGTATTATGCTAAGCGAAATAATTAACTTTTTATAATAGATTTGTTTATATTTTCTGGTAGTGATAAAATAGGACTAGTATCTACATATATTTTGTGCGTTCATGACAGACCTAACTTTTTCTTAATTTTTTTGGTATTTCTAGGCTAGTTGGTTCATTTGCAAGTTTTTTCATATTGTCACAAATCTCCAAAAAATTTTCTGCTATGTTTACTTAAAAAAAATCTGTGTATAACAGGAGGCACTTAATTCAAACCCATTGTTGTTCAAGAATCAACTATAATGTTAAAAGTCTAAAAACTTTTAATTTCTCTCACTCGTAGTAAGATTGGACATTGTTTCATATCTTTGTCATTTACATGTATTCCTAGCCTATTTATGCTATTTGCTGGATATTCTTAAAAAATACTTCTCCAAGTAATAGGTTTGCACATGGGAGAGAAAGTAGTGGGCTGGTTACCCTTTTTGATAATGGTTTAGACAGGATGTTGAGTTCATTTACAGGGGTTATTACCTGAGGAGCTGATTGAAGAAAACATTTTGGTATAGATTATGGACAGATCAGAGTTAGAGCAGGCCTGGTTACCGAATACTTTCACTTGGTGCTTTAATATGTGAGTGATTAATCAAATGAATTACGGTTAAGTCCCATTCTGAGAGAAGCCTAGAATCTATAAAGTTTTAAGTTGTTGTTCTGAACATCAAACCTGCCTATGTGTCTCTTTGGTCAATATTTTAAATTTTGAGTTAATTTAAATGTATATGTTTTTTGTTTGTTTGGTTTTTTTTTTTTTTTTTTAGAGAGAGAGAGAGAACTCGTCGGTGGGGGGTAGACAGAGGGAGAGAAATAATCTTAAGCAGGTTCCGTGCCCAGCGCAGAGCCCGATGTGGGGCTCAGTCTCACAACCCTGAGATCATGACCTGAGCCAAAATCAAGAATCAGATGCTTAACTGACTGAGCCACCTAGGCGCCCCTAAATGTATGTGGTTTTTAAGGCTACTTATTTACCTTATACATCTATAAGACCAAAACAAATTTAATTCATAAATTATATGTAAATAGAAATTTAAACTAGTATTAACATGGCATAATGTTTTATTAAAACTAAATCTTTAATATTGGGATTAATATTGGTAGAAAATAGCTTCAGGTCTGGTTTTAATAATCTGTTTATGAATTTTGATTTTTAATATTAAATGCAGAGACAGGCTGTTCCTAAAATTGTGGTAAAATGATTTAATCCATTTTATGACATGTTTATTATTTTGAGACCCTTACATTTAAATCTAAAAACTTTATTTTTCTGAAGACTGCTAGAAGGCACTCCTTGTATGGCAGATTCAATGGTGTATCAGCTTATAATTCTGTGAAGATGTCTTGTTTCATATCATGATAAGTGCCCCATATGTTATTTGCTCTTTACTTAAAAGCAACTGCATTTGTGAACATAAAGCATAAATGTGGGCTTTGAAATTATTGATAATAAATCTGTTTTAAGGTAGCTATTCAGATCATCTGTAATATGCTTATTAATTTTTTAAGGATGTCATTGAAGAAAGCCCCAAATTCTCGTGTAGAACTTGTTTTGTTTTTTTTAATAAACATTTTATTTTTTTTTTATTTTTTATTTTTTAAGATTTTATTTATTTATTTGAGAGAGAGAGAATGAGAGACAGAGAGCAGGAGAGAGAGGAGGGTCAGAGGGAGAAGCAGACTCCCCGCTGAGCAGGGAGCCCGATGCGGGACTCGATCCCGGGACTCCAGGATCATGACCTGAGCTGAAGGCAGACGCTTAACCATCTGAGCCACCCAGGCGCCCTCGTGTAGAACTTGTTAACTTCCACGAATAAGTATTCAGGCTCCAATTTGAGAATCACTCTGTTTGTCATTAATAAAGATATGTGCTTCTATAGCTTTTATATAAAATTCAATAGATTTAAAATTGCTTTCTAAGATGACTAATATTTTATTAAAGATTTTATTTATTTATTTGAGAGAGAGAGTGTGTGTGCACACACTGCAGGGGGGGATGGGGAGCGATAGAGAAAAGCCGACTCCCAGCTGAGCGAGGAGCCCGACATATCCCAGGACCCTGAGATCATGACCTGAGCCAAAGTCAGATGCCCAGATGACTGAACCACCCAGGCACCCCTCAGATTACTGTAACTTTTATGAATTAGTTATAAGTGGTTCAGACTGGCACTGTCCTTGGATATACTTTGTGTGGCATTGTAATGGACAATAATTTAAGAATGAAGTAAGCAGAAATGTAAAATGATGGGTAAATCAGAAAAAGACAAAAATTAAGTAAAAGTGGACAGATAAGTGAAAATAAAGACCAAGAGAACATTAAAAAGTGATGTTAGCTAAAAAATGAAGATTTAATATAACTCAACAGGGAAAATTGAGCAGAGACAGGAAAATGCTATGGTGTTAATCTTTTATCAAAACATGACTAAATAAATAAAAAATTCAATACAAAATAATTTTCAATGTTATTGATTAGGATACAGTAGAAAACATTTATTTTCCATTAGCATATTCCACTTAAATTGTCATGCAGTATGATTCAATTAGGCTTTCCCTGGGCCCCAATTCTCAACTCATGCCTCTGTGTGGTATCACAGATGTCTCCGTATCAAATATTCTAGAGCAGAGTGCTGACATTTCCAGATAGATAGATTTGACATTTTAAATAAGACAGCAGTACGTGTTTCAGAGTTCAAAACCTATAAGCAGAAATCAGAGTCCTTTAGCAGAGGAAGCTGTGAAATCATTAAATTTTTAGGTGTGTAAGTTTATTTGATGAATTTTAGATATCATTGATCTATTTTAATTATTTGGTGCAGAAAATAACTTTTATGTGTATTTTTTCTAAGGTCAAAAAAAGATCTGTCTACTCCTAGACATTAGAAATGTGCTAATTTTTGCATATTTTCCTTTGTAGGCTCAGATTATTCTTCATCAGCATGGTTACCTGGTAATGAATCATTGTGGCAGGCCACAACTGTTACATCTAACCATCGAAATAATCATATCAGGAGACATAGTATAACTTCTGACAGTGGTGACACCGGCATTGGGACTTCCTGTTCTGACAGCGTGGAAGGTGAGCTGAAATTCTTAGTGTTTAGACGTGAGCCCTCGGAGAATGGTTGTGATCCCATTCAAGGGATATGTTCTATTGTTCCAAAATAAATTATGTTTGAATATTTAATAATCTTCAGTGTTATATCAAATGAAATTGTTCCTCTGATCATATTAATTTTCCCTCATTCACTTTTTAAACTATTTTTATATAATTATAGATTCATAATTCATAATTCAATTTTAAGAAATAGTACAGTGATTCTGTGCACCCTTTATTCAATACCTCCCACCCCCACCCATGGTAATATCTCACAGAACTGCAGTGCACTTTCACAACCAGGATACTGATACAGAGAAAATACAGAACGTTTCTATCACCACAGTATACACCTCACGTTGCTCAGTCTCCTCCTGCCCTCCCTTAACCTTTGAAACCACGAAATCTGTTCTCCATTTTTATAATTTTGTCATTTCAAGAATGCTGTATAAATAGAATCATAGAGTATGTAACCCTTTAATATTGGCTTTTTTTCTTTGACAATTCATCCAGGTTGTTGCATATATCGATAGTTCCTTTCTCTTATTGCTAAGTAGTATTCAGCAATGGTGGTATTATGTAGACCACATTTTGCTTAAGCATTTTCCCACTCAAAGACATCTGGGTTGTTTCAGTTTTGACTATTTGGAATAAAGCTCCTATAACCATTCATGTCCAGGAACACAGTTGCTGGTTGTATGGCAGTTGTATGTTTAGTTTTTAAAGAAATTGTCACACTGTTTTGCAGAGTGATTATTCCATTTCAGTCAGCAGTGGAAATGGATCATTGTGAGTGATCCAGTTTTTTCTTCATTCTTGTTAACATTGCTGGTTTTTTAATTCTAGCCTTTCTGATGGGAATGTAGTGATACCTCATTGTGCTTTTAATTTTCATTTCCTTAAAGAGTAATAATATTGACCATTACTTCACATGTTTATTTTCCATCTGTCTGTTCTCTTCAGTGAAATGTTTCTTCATGTCTTTTGCCTCTGTTTTAATCAGATTATTTCCTTTTTTTTTTTTACTGTTGAGCTCTGAGAGTTCTTTCTATATTTCAGATACTAATCCTTTGTTCGCTATGTGATTTGCAAATATATTCTTCTATTCTATAGCTTGTCATTTCATCCTCTAACAGTTGATGAAGTTTAGTTATAATTTTAGTGTATAGTTTTTCCTTATATGGATTGTGGTTTTGGGGTCAAATCTAAGAACCCTGCATAGTCCCAGATCTTGAAGATTTTTCTCTTGTTTTCTTTTCCTTGAAGTTTTATCATTTTTTGTTTTCCATTTAATTCTGTGATCCAATTTGAGTTAATTTATTATAAAGCAAGTGTGTTTGGGTGTCTCCAAGACCACTGTTCAGCTCAGTGATTTGCTGGAAGGAATTCCAGAACTCAGAAAAGCTGTCATACTAATGGTTATGGTTTGTTACAGCTAAAGGATACAGAGTTAAATCAACAGTAGAAAAAGAAGCAAAGGGCAGGGTCTAGGAGACGCTAGGCCCAACCATTTGTCCTCTCCCAGTGGAGTTGTGTGGGTGGTGTTTAATTCTTCCAGCAGTGATTTTTGACAGCACATAACAGAGGATTTTGCTAACCAGGCAAAGTCACCCAAGCCTTGGTCCAGGATTTTTATTGTGGGTTGGTTATGTTGGCATGGTTGACTCCTTGTGTGGATGAGCTTAGTCCCTAGCCCTTGAGAAGTCAAGCTGGTAACACGTTTCAAGACTCCCACCATAAGTCACATTATTAGCATAGACTATATGAAGTGACCCAAGGTCCCCAGGTAAACAAAGATAGTCTTATTAGGCAGGGTATTCCAAGGGTTTAGAGGTTACCTCTTAGGAGCCAAAGATAAGGGCCAAACCTTTCTTGTAATGTGCAGGATATTGAAAACCCCGACATGCTGACTTAATCCTTTTTGCACAGTGTGAGACTAATATTGGAGTTCATTTTCTTTGCATAATAAGTATTGAAATTGGGTAGAATAATTATTCCTATTTTATTCTTTTTCAAAACTGTTTTAGCTATTCTCATTCCTTTGCTTTTCTATATAAGTTTTAATAATTTGTCTATACGAAAAAATCTTGTTAGGAATTTTATATAGGAATTGTGTTATCCATATATCAGCTTGGGGAGAATTGACATGTTTACTCTCTTGAGTTTTCTAGTCCATTAACATGGTATAGTTCTCCATTTGTTTAAATTTTGATTTTATTCACCCAGTATTGTACCTGTTTTGTTAGAATTATACCTGAGTATTTAATTATTTCTTTTTTGGGGGAGTGATTGTAAATGGCATTGTATTTCCAGTTTTGGTGTCAATGTGTTGTTATTGTATAGAAATACAATCTATTTTTGTATGTTTATCTTGTGACATTGTTGAACTCTTTAGTTCTAGGAGTTTTTTTGGTAGATGTCTTGGGATTTTCGCTATAGACAATCATGTCATCAGTAAATAGGGATGTTTTTCCTTTCTAATCTGTATGCCTTTTATTTCCTTTTCTTCACTTATCATCGCAGTGACCAGACCATCCAGAACAGTATTGAGGATGAGAAGTAGGAGTGGACATCCTCATCTTACAGATAAAGTGCTTAGTCTTCCACTGTTAAGTAGCTGTATGACAACTGTTAGCTGTAGGTTTTTTATAGATGTCATCAACTTGAAGTTTCCCTCTAGTCCTACTTTGCTGAGAGGTATTTTTTGGTTTTGTTTTTTTTTAAATAATGAATGGGTATTGGATTTTGCAAATGCTTTTTCTGAATCACTTGATAAATGATATTCTTCATTAGCTTGTTGATATGGTGGCAGATTCCATAGCTTGATTTTTCAAATATTGAGTCAGCTTTCCATCCCTGGAACTCCACTTGGTCAAAATATAGAATTATTTTTATACATTGCTAAATTCTATTAATACTTTGTTAAGGAATTTTTCTGTGTATCCATAAGGAATATTGTTCTGTAGTTTTCTTTTTGGGAGGACTGTCTTTCCTGTTTCGATGTCAGGATAATACTAGCTTTATAAATGAATTGGGAAGTATTCTCTCCTATTTTCTGGCAGAGACTGTATTAGAGTGACATTGATTCTTTAGGTGTTTGGTAGAATTCTTTAGGGAAACCATCTGGGCCAAGAGATTTCTTTTTTCATAGTTTTAAAGTCATCAATTCAGTTTCCTTAATAATTACAGGGTTGTTCAAATTATGCCTCTTAAATTGGATGAATTGTGGTAGCTTCCTCCCCTTCAGAAGTGGCCCATTTTGTCTAAGTTGTCAAATTTATGTGTGTAGAGTTGTTCATAGCATTTCTTTATTATCTCTTGATGTCTGTAGCCTCTGTAGTGATACCCCCTGTTCCATTTTCTGGTATTGGTAATTTGTGTCATCTTTCCTTTTTTATTTTTTAGTCTTAGTAGCAGTTTGTCAATTTTATTGACCTTTTCAAAGGATCAATTCTGCATTTCATTAATTTTCTTTTTTCTGTTTGCAATTTCAGTGATTTCTGATCTTTATTATTTCCTTCTTTTTGCTTTGGGTTTATTTTGCTCTTTTTCTAAGTTCTTAAGGTGGACGATAAGGGGTTTGAAACTTTCCCTCTTTTAAGATGGATCCATTTCGTGCTATAAATTTTTCTGAGCACAGTTTTGACTGTGTCCCACAAATTTTGATATTTTGTGTTTTCATTTAGTTTGTTGTTTTCTTAATTTACCTGAGACTTCCTCTTTGACCTTAGGGTTATTCAGTAGTATGTTGTTTAGTTTCATGGTGTTTGGTGTTTTTCTGCTATCTTTCTGTTACTGATTTCAAGTTTGATTCTATTGTGGTCAGAAACACTATGATTTCAACTCTAAATTTTTTGAGGTTTCTTTTAGGTCTCAGCATATGGTTTACATGGTATATGTTTTGTGGGCACTTGAAAAGAATGTGTGTTTTGCTGCTGTTGGGTCGATTAGATCCTGTTGGTTGATGGTGTTTTTGTTTTTTTGTATATCTTTGATGATTTTCTGTCTAGTTGCTCAGTCAGTTGTTAAGAGCAGTTTTTTAGTCTCAACTATAATTGTGGATTTGTGTATTTCTTTTTTTGGTTCTTTAAATTTTTGTTAACATATTTAGTTATAGTGCTTGGTGCATACACATTTAGGATTGATATGTCTTCTTGGTGGATTGGCCCTTTTACCATTATATAATGTCCTTCTTTGTCTCTGGTTATTTTCTTGTGCTGGAGTCCACTTTATCTGCTATTTATACAGTACTTTGGCTTTCCTTTGATTAATGTTTAAATGGTAAGTGTTTCCTGTTCTTTTTACTTTCAAATCTGTCTGTATCATTATATTTGAAGTAAGTTGCTTCTAACAGCATACAGTTGGATTGTGATTTTTAATTCACTCTGCTAGTCTTTTGCTTGGTATATTTAGACCATTTACCTTTAAAGTAATTATTGATTTATTGATACTTAAGTTCTCTGTTTGTCTTCTTTCTTTCTGTTTTCATTTTCTTGCTTTCCTATGGGTTAGTGGAACATTTTTAGAATTCTACTTGGATTTATCTATAGTATTTTTAAGTGTATCTCTTTGTATAGCTCTTCTAGTGGTTGCTGTAGGTATATATGTACATATGTAATATGAATAATTTATTTTAACAGTTTGAGTGGAGTACAGAATCCTTTACCATACCCTACTTATAAAATTGTTTCAAATACTGTCTCTAGGGGTGCCTGGGTGCCTCAGATGGTTAAGTGTCTGCCTTCAGCTCAGGTCATGATCTCCAGGTCCTGGGATCGAGCCCCACGCCGGGCTCCCTGCTCAGCGGGGAGTCTGCTTCTCCCTCTCCCTCTGCCTCTCCCGCTGCTTGTGCTCTCTGTCTCTCTTCCTCTCAAATGAATAAATAAAATCTTTAAAACAAAAAAACAAAAAACAAATATTGTCTCTATATGTATTTATAACTATATCAGATAGTGTTATAATTTTTACTCCAACCATCAGAC